AAGGAATGAAGCCTGAATTCATGATTAGAATATAATTTATCAACACCACATTAAACGAGACAAACTACTGCAGAATTATAATAAATGAAAATCAGGAACATAAAAAATAGAGAACAACTAAGTAGTTGAAACTCAACAACTTCTCTCTAGCACTATGAGCCTACGATACATGAGTATAAGAACGCATATCAATTAGCATAAGAGGGCATCAGAACACAAAGAACGCAGAAAGCAATCAATAATATATAATTAACAATTGTTTCATCAGAAAATCCTGTGTAATAAAGTACCCATAAAGCATTTCTCAATAATTTGAAATTCAATTTACCAACAATGACAAAGAAAGAGAATTATATTATTTGAAGAATTAAAAAATTGGAGATTTACTATTATACCCAATATAGGAGCTCAAATTATATTTAAAAAAACCTATATGAAATGGACTTTAAAAACACACCTAAAGCTCATTTACAATATAACAAAAAGACTTTTAACTTCTTGTAAAATACAAAATTGTCATTGATTTCTTAAAACAAACTCAATCCCAAAACCTCATAAAAAAAACCCAAAACACTCAATAGGATATCAAAGTAATTTAATAATTAAAATTAAATTCAATAGGATCAGTTGTCATTTTTTGGGTTTTTTTTGGGTTTGTTTATAGAAATTAAATGGTGTAGTGTTTATCTATAATATTAGTGCTAAGAATGGGTATATGACTAAATATCTCTTAAAAAAAAAATTAAAAAGAAGAAGAAGAACGAAATAACCATACCATTCTCAAATTAGTTGTAATCTTGGTCTCTTGTTCTTCTGAGGAAGTTCAGTGTTTGAATCTGGGTTTGGCTTGCTGCCGTCTTAGTGTCTTCTCTTTAATGAAAGACAGATTTGTATGCTTATTTTTTGCTACATTTTTTTCATCTCCCAGTAATATAATTATCAATCTGTTTTATTATAGTTGAACTGAATTTCGTTTATAGTTGGTGAATTGAATTTCAGATGATCGAAAACGGCTTTTAGGAAGGAGAAGCTGAGGTCAGGCCCAGGAGGGTGGGGAAAGGGGTTGGTGATATGAGAGAGAGTCATTCCTCCCCTTTCTCCTCCTTTCAAACAACGAACCATTTCCATCTCTCTCTCTTTGAACCACAATGCAGATGGTCTGAATCGATTTTAACTCTTAGCTGCAAATTGTTTTTAACTTTGAGGGTATTTAAGTGGGCTTTTTGCTATATTTAAAAGTTTTTTTTAATAAAAATTGATATTTATGAAAATAAGGGGTAAATTTTGGCTATTTTTGATAAAAACTCCACGTGGACATACTCCAACTCTATACAATAATTTCTACAAGAGAAGTAAGCAGACACAGGAAAATATCTATTATTCTATCCTGAAAAAGGAAAATATTACTCTGTTTAATTTAATCGAGGTGTATTGACATCGTTACCTGCTACGTACAATGCTTGATTTACAAAAAAATCGATACTACAGTTCAACTTTCCGCACGTATAATGAGTTGTGTTTGATTTAATGCCCGCTAAATGAATTGTACAAATCAGTTGTCCTTACAATTTCTTGAGTAGTTGGAAGTAGACAATCTGGACTGGGATTGAAAGAAATCGAAAGGTGCTCCTGAACCAAAAGACCTTCTAGTAGAATTTGGTGAATCTGATAGTAGAGGTTCAAAAATTGGATTTCTGTTCTTGGGTTGAGTTATTGATAACGGAGAAACATCATTTTCTATGGTTCTTGGTTGTGGTTCAATGCTCCCAATCGACAGGATAGGCCCTCCCAACCGTTCAGCCTGCTGAAGTGTATTGATTTTGCTTGGTCTGTAAGTATACCGGAAGTACTTCAGCGCTAGAATCGGACCCATCCCTGCTGCAACTATGAGCTGCAATGCACATAAAGTTTCCGTCAGCTCCTAGAAACTATATGCACCAGATTCTGGCTTTCCAGGTTACCAACCACAGGTTGCATCAAGGGGGGACGAAGAGTTGGTCCGTTCCTTGATTCAGTACTGTAGTGGTACCTCAAAACTCAGATGAGAACATGAAATTTTAAGTTTCAAATCATCCGTTGGATAGTTAGGGATAACTGAGTGAAGAATGGTTCATCTCTCAGCAGACCATTTTGGTGGTTCCATATCACCACCCGCCACTTTAACCAAAAGAAGCCACTAAACTAATACAAAATATTGCCCAAAAAAACAAAATAGTTACTGTTCCTGAGAGATTAGACACACCCCAACATAACATGACTCTGAATGATGCAATTACATACCCGTGAAACTAATGATGATGATATTTAGAAAGAAGCCACACTGAACAAATAACTGCAAAAATGGCAAAGGCAGACTTACCAACATTGTCATCCAATAAGATGGCTGTCTACACAAGCGAAACATAATTGTATACATCCCTGATGATGGAATGGCACTGAAGATCCAGTTGATGATATAGAAGGCAGCTAAGTTTCCCCATACAGCAAGATGTTGCAATATTGTAAAGGAACTGTAGAAATCAAACAAACCCAGGCGGTCACAGCAAACTCAAAAGCATTTTTGCTCGGAAGTTTTTAGTTAAGCTTTTGAAGCGTCTAGTCAAGAAAAATCAACTGAGTTTACATTTAAGGTTCCTATAATTCTTTTAACCAGGAGATGACTTGAACAATTATATAGTGATTACCAAGACACTCACACCTTGACTGAGAAAGATCGATAATTACTTGGAAACAAGTTAACACCATACAAGTGCCAGTCATGATGTAACTTACTTTGTCTCTAATGTCATTACAAATGCCTGCAACCAAATACATCCAGAAAGCGCTACCATTGAAACCTCCTCCGTTTCACTTTTTTCATAAGCATAGGCATGTATGCTGATCACAAACACAACAATTGCCTGACAACCCGTAACTGGTATTAGAATCAATGGAGAAAAGTAACGGGCAAAAATTTAAACCAGAGAAGAACAACAAATTTATTGGAACTAGAGTTGATTTGACATGAGTTACAAAGCCTTTCATTGACATGCCACAGTGACCTCAGATAGATTGTCTTTGGAATCTAACTGCTACATCCAACAGTTTTAACAAGTCAAATATATATATATTCCACATTAACCAAGGTAACCATCAAATTCTAACGGTTTTAATGAGCTTCTTACGAGTAACGGTGGGCTTCAACTATCTACCTATCTATTACTAACAGTCACTGGAATAACCTCTATGTTCAGTTGCGA